CACCCCGCCCCTCTCCTACGGCCCCGCCTGGGAGCAAGAGCGGTCCTGGGGGTCCAGTCCAGCTCCCGCGGCTGCGAGCCAGGCGGCACCGAGTGCCGGGCTGGACTCCGTGGACTCCGGCGGTGCCCGTCGGAACCTAAATGTTTCAGCTCTACAAGGGCCGAGGGGGCGGCAGTTGGAAGAGTGAATTCTGCAGAATCCCAAGAGCGTCTCCGGACCCGTTCCTTCCCTGGAGGGCTGGGTCAGGGAGGCGTCTGCACCAGTGTCTTCAGTGACTGCTCTGGAAATGAATGAGGCCTTGAAGAGCCTGCATTATAATATCACAAACTTGCGAGAGCCTCCAGGAGTTTACTGCCCCCTATAAGGAGAGGGCATTGCGGTGGGCAGGTGGAGCGGCCTGGGCCCGGATTTGCGGTTCAGGCTAGGTGGCTTCTTCGGAGGGAAGCAGGGGTGGGACCCATGCTTAGCCTTGTTACAACGTTGGTTCTTCATTCATTCACGCACTCTTTTTTTAAAAAATATTTTTTATTGATTTGAGAGGAAGGGAGAGAGAGAGAGAAACATCAATGATAAGAGAGAATCATTGATTGGCTGCCTCTTGCATGCCCCCCAACTGGGGATTGAGCCGGCAACCTCCGCATGTGCCCTTGCCTGGAATCGAACCTGGGCCCCCTCAGTCCGCAGCCCGACACTCTATCCACTGAGCCAAACCAGCCAGGGCCACTCATGCGCTCTTTCATTCATCAGGACCAGGAACATTGATGGAAAGGCAGGCCCTGCACAGGGTGCTGGAAATAGATGGAAAGAAACTGTCCCCTTGCTCCGTTTAGCTCTTCAACAAATACTTGTTGCGGGCGGAGAGGCTCAGTGATTGAGGGCCCATCTATGAACCAGGAGGTCATGGTCCTGTTCCCAGTGGGGGGCGTGCAGGAGGCAGCCAATTAGTTATTCTCTCTCATCATTGATGTTTCTATCTCTCTCTTCCTCTCCTTCCTTTCTGTAATAAAACACACACACACACACACACACACACACACACACACACACACCAAATACTTGTTGAGCTTCTACCAAGTTCCATGTGC